AACTACCAAGTCACCATCCTCGTCGTTTAACTGGATATTCAAATGCCTTACCAACGACGGGTCCCACCGGTGGTATTCAAAGGCCAACTCGACCAATTCCGAATCGTGATACACATCCAACGGAACCGACTCCGTGCTCGACGAATTAGCCACCGCCTTACCCTTATCTTTTGACGCCATCGTACCACAGAACACAACACAAAAGAAATGAATAAAGAATCAAAGAAGAAGCTTACCACAAATCCGGAAATATTCAGCGCACAAGAAACAACTCTCAAGCTCAGAAAGGATTTCTATAACAGGATTATTGAACACAAAAATTCGAGAATGAAAGCACAGGTGAAGAAAGTCCGATCAAACGCTGCGAAACCCTATTTATAATTTCAGATTCACGACCGTTAGAGACTTTAATTAGGGGCGCGTCTAACCGACGCGACCCCTAATTCCAATCGACACCACCCCTTCATCTGATGAGACACCTACTGTTACACGTGGCTGCCTATTAAAGTCGACCGTTACCTCATTTAAGACCATTACGGCGCGACCGTTCGGCCTAAACATTTACTCGTTGACCGTTACGACCGTTCACCTCTTCTGTCGTAACTGCTTGAAGATTATCCAAAATTCACCAAGTGTCTTCACCTCGGTATACAGTCTACACTTCGGACAGATGATCCACTTCGGTTACATCGGTAAATAGACCGAAGATGACCCACCGGACACCATAGACCACATCTTACCGCCGACTTCTTGCCGATCCAGGGTCTCCAAATACCTGGCATTGCAACATCAACGACCATCACTCCGTATGCCCATCGATGTTGGGGGCCTCTCTGTTATCATCCGACTCGGCAAGACACTGTTAAGAGGTTTTAAGCATCTTGTTAAAAGCGATTAACTGTTAAACCGACGTGAATCAGAACCGCACCGATGTACACAAAAGAACCGGTCTGAACCACCAAAGGCCGAAGTGGTCAACGACTACCGAGGTCAACGTCTTTCGAGATCAACGTGAACCGAGGTCGTCACCTCCCTAAGCAGGTGACAAGGCGCCTACGTGTGACCCTCCAGCTCCACAAGATCCGTCATCATTTATGTGGGACCCTCTGCCTCAAACCGCCTACAAAAAGTAACTTTATTCGAAAAAGTCATGCACAGATCCCAATGTATCAACCCGAAATCACTATAAATAGCGGGCCTATAACATTTGTACGGGGATCTCTCTCCGAACTGAAAATACTTTACTAAGCAATACGAAAAAGCCCATCACGGCTCTTCACCTCGGTTCACCTCGGACCGGGGCCATTGCTGAGTAAATTTTACATGCTTTACGTCCAAATAATTCAAAATTATCCACTTAATCTCAAGTTACATCGTTGTTAAAAATCACATAACAACAAGATTCTAGAAGATGGAACCGTTGTGTTGAAGAAGATCAAGACGATGGAGAATCCTGCAGATATGATGACCAAGATAGTGGCAGCAGTCAAGTTTGAACATTGTTTAGACTTGACCAACATTCTGCATATTTGAGTTGGCGCCGAGAGGCGCATTTGGAGGCACCGCTAGCAGTTGAGTTGGAAGTGGGAGCAAAAATTAGTCAAGGTGGAGAATTGTTAGATTTTGATTAATTTTATGTCCCACATCGGATGTGTACCAAAGATGTGTAGGATCTTTTTAGTATAAATAGGTCCCTTGCCTTTGGGTTACAATTGCACCTTATTCTATTCTCTCCTATTTAGAAGGAAATCCTTAATTAAGGAAATCCTATTTTGTGGGTTATTTAACCCTAGTTGTATTTTGTTGGTGAGTTTAGTAAATTTGGCGTTGCGGTTGGCGGTGCCCGGAGACGTAGGCTATTTTCGCCGAACTCCGTTATCAATTTTTGTGTTCTTTTCTTTTCCGTCTTTTATTTATTTGTGTTGGCCTATTTTCGTTTGGAGTAGTGTTCGCCAGATTTGTTGGAGGGGTATTTTTGTCCGCTGCGCTTGTTGTGATACCCCAACAAAAACAATGTTTCCTATTACAATTATTAAGTTAAGATTAGACAAATTACAGATTTTAGCAGATACTTCCTCGAGCTTTTATCTCAATTTAAATAAGTCGAACATCGACAGTGTTGAATCGAGAGATTTCGATTCCATATCTAAATTCAAACCAAGAATGTTCGTAAAAGCTTAGATAAAACTTCTTCGTCATACATAAATATCAAGCTTCGGGTAAAATCCACTCTTTGGTGTTTGTCACTCACTTGTAGTTAAGTTAGTTGAACTTGAAATTGAACTCCATTTTGGATAATCTCCCAAAATAATGAAATAAATAAATATGTAATGAAAAATATACAACCAACAACTTTGAAAGGCCTACCTCAATAAATAAAGTTATGTTAGTTACATATAGTTCACATTTTCTTTCATTAGCCTTCTTCAAAAGAAATATTCTCAAATTCTCTCTCTTTTTTTTTTTTT